AGGCAGATGGGGACCAATCGGTCAAGAGCAGTATTCAGCTTGCTGGGAAATCTCCTTGATTCCACTATAGAGTCAGACATGCCAGTGGAAGTCTTTTCAAAATCTACACTCTCAGGATCCCCCAGGGTCCCCCCATCTACCCATCCAGCTGGCCAGCCAGCCATCTTGCAAATTTTTATTGAGCACCTACTGTGTAACAAGCACCATTTTTTTTTAAGATTTTATTTGTGTATTTGACAAAGAGAGATCACAAGTAGGCAGAGAGGCAGGCAGAGAGAAGGGGAAGCAGACTCCCCACTGAGCAGAGAGCTCAATGCGGGGCTTGATCCCAGGACTCTGAGATCATGACCTGAGCCGAAGGCAGAGGCTTAACCCACTGAGTCACCCAGGCACCCCTCAAGCACCATTCTAAGCACTGGGGAGAGGTGGGAGGCTCAGTGTCGATCCACACAGATGATGGTTTTATCCTTGCAAAGCCTACAGTCCATGGGAAAGGCAGAAAACCAAACTGTAAAGTGATGACAGCAGCATGGCCAGCACCATGGTGGGGAAGGTCCTGGTTCTCTGAACTGTCAGGAAAGGGGAGTAGAGGAAGCCCTCCGGCACAGGGTGAGGCCGGGGTCTTGTGGAAGTGACTGGCCAACCGAGCGCTGAAGGAGCGGTGGAAGCCAATTGCAGCTTGAGTGGTGTAGGGAACGGTGAGAAGGGAGAGAATGAGAAATTTTGGATACAAGCTGATGGCAATATCGGGAGGAAAGCAGACATGTAGGGAGCCTCCCCGGAAATGCTCTGACACGGCATCCCTCTCGGAGCGTTTGATGGGAAAGCTTGTTTGTATCAATACGCCCGGACCGCGGTTTGTCTGTAAGATCTCACCTCCCTGCCTGTCCAAAGAGTTTGAGCTCTGGGGTCAAAAGAGTTTGAGCTCTGGGGTCAGACAGAACATAGTGGCATTCCTGGCCTTACCCTTGGGGAGTCTCAAAAAAAAACCCCGAAAACCTCTGTGAGCCTCAGTTTCCCCTGCAAAGTGGGGCTAATGGCCATCCTTACTTCACAGGGGTGTTGTGAGGAAACAACCAAACCCTAGCACCAGTCCCCGGCACATCAAAGGTATTCCTAAAGGAGAACTGTCGTTCTGCCTGGATGGCTATGATGTGGTGAGTATCAAAGCTCCATGACAGGCACATGAGAGCTCCTTGGACTATTCTGTTTTCTTCTGAATATTTTTGAAATTATTATGGTAAAACATATTTTTAAAAACTAGTGCTCGTGTTATTTCTGTGATTGCTGCTCTGATCCATGCACCTCTGGGGAGTTTTCCCATTCACCGAAAGGAATCAGAATATGACAGTTACAAGAGACAAGAACCTCCCTCCAAAATTCCTCACGTTCACCTGCCAAGTTCATCATCCCCAATATTCAGAGGGGCATGAGCGAGAGCCTGCACCCTGGGCCCATCCTGACCCCATGGCTTGGTTCCAATGCCAACATCAGAGTTTCCAAATCAGGGGTAAAAAGGAAATATTGAAACTCGAGTTTTATTTATTTTTCATCTAAAAAAAAAAAGAGAGAGAAATATCAAGCATTCCTAATACTTAAAGTAGGGATTGAAGGTATGCATGCAAAGAATTAAAGTGTGCAGCCTTACCTGTGACACATAAAAGAACATATTTTCTTGCCTAAGATTCTGGAAAAATGGCAACTCGAAGGGAAACACATGGATTAACCCTTGTTTCTTTCCATTCCAGTGAGAGGAGACCTTTCCCCGAAACTTGGTTAGCCAGCTGGAAGAAAGTTACTGACTTGAATATGGAGATCCTTCGATGAATATGAATACAAAAAATTAGAAATTTTTTTAAAGTATGGATTGACAGTAGTATACGTAAATTATTCACAAGTCAAACACATAGATTGGGTGTGAGTGCTCAAAAAATGTTTGTCCAATGGGACTGCATGATCAGTGAAGTCTGGAGGAACTGGCCTCTGTAATATGGCCCTTCTACACTCACATCAGAGCCCCACACAGAGGGGGACCTGGATGCTTTGTCTCACGTGTCCAAGAGCACCGTCTGCTCACACAGATGGGAGGAAAATGTAGCGAAAGGCATAACTTCTATCCGAATTTCCAGGCCCGGATGTGTATCTCATGCACTCAGGCAGTCCTGAAAATAATTAGCCACATAGATGTAAATTCTGGGAATAAAGAAAGTGGCCTCTTGCCAATCAGGGACAGTCGTGCTCACTACACCTGTAAGGTGCCGCCCTTCTCCACCACCAACAGGGAGAAGGGAGAGCCATTATAAGATAAGGTGGTCAGGAGACCCTAAGGAGAAGGGGTGTGGTAGGTTGCTGATGGAGACAGGTCTAAATGGAGCATTTGGAGTTGGTGACCAAAGGGTCCTATGGGGCCATCAACATGGTCCCCAAGGCCAGCACGTTCAGCCTATCCTCAAGAGTGGAACCCTCCATCTGGGGTGCTCTCTGGACCCCTTGGGCCAAAGAAGCAAGACTGGCTCTTCTTGCCTGACCTTTTGAAGGGTGCTGAGACTCCCTCCATCAGAGGATATAAGAAAGGGTAGGAAGTTTTCCCACCCATTTGATCTCTTCTCAAAGGCCTGTGAACTCTGGGAGGTGGATATGCTTGCTCTGGGCAGCTGGGCAGAGGCTCGGCCTGGAGGTCAAGTCCTGGTTTGGTCTTTTAGCTTTGTGAACTTGGGCAAGTCACTGGACCTCTTGGAGCTCTAATTTCCCCACCTCCCAGATGAACAGAGTAAGAACTTTCCTACTTCCTGGGAGATGCCAGTAAGATAATACCATCCTTAGAACGCAGTTAGAAAATGGACCCAAAAGCAATTAGGAAATTAAGACAATACTTTCTAAGTACAATAGGTAATGATACTCAACTAGAGACAAGAGTGTAAGGGTCTGGGACAAAAGGTTTCTTACATTCCACAAGCACCCCAAGATGGATAGCACATCAAGTTAGCAGTGGGGGGAGGCCTGGTGTCCCCATCCCTCCTTGCCTCCATCTCAGGGCACCCTCCAGAGATCATGGGATCGTGGACTTGAAGGAGTCTGGAGGGGCCTGCCGGGGACACAGAGAGCATGCAGACACAGAGAGAGGTTGTCCTGGGCCGGTGAGCTCCTGCCTCCAGCCTACCACCTTATCAATCTATCATCCTCTTAGCAGCTGACACTTCTGGCAGCTCCCCCAGGCAGCCCAGTTGAATTAGAATTGCAAGGAGCCCAGTTGCATCAGGGAATACCGATGGAGGAATCACAGATTCAAATTTGTCTAAGTGTCGTGAACAGCCAGACCTGGGCAAAGCATTTCTACTGCCCTGCCACCAAAGGGGAGCGGTGGGGGTTTTATTAGAAGTACAAATTGCTTCTTAATGCAGAGGATAAAGCTGGGCTCGGGCGCCTCCTTAGAAATTCCTCCCGTTCCCAGGAAAGCCACCGCTGCATGTCAATTTTAATTTTTGAAATTTAAACCGAGGGCTTTGTGTCTAAGCTCCATCTCATCGGAGGAAGGGGAGGAATAAGTCAAAAAGGATTAGGGGCCCACTGGGGATTGCAGATCCATAGCAATTAGACTTCATTTGGGTCTCAGACATTTGGTTTTAATCGCATTTCTGGATGATACAATCGACAAAGCATCAGAAATTGATACGTATGCAACAGGAGATGGGCCCCAATTCTGCCTTCCCCAGTTCCAGGGCTCAGCTGGGTTTGGGCTCCAAAATCAAGGGGGTTACGCTGGGGCAGAGGTGGGGAACTGGGTTCCCTTTGGGTCTGAAACTGGAGAGGTGGTGGGGTGTGTATGTGTGTGCACATGTGTCACTTGGATAAGTGATGACAGCCATAACATTATATCTGCATGATGGCTGCTTGTGCGTATTTACAGCTTTACCCAGGTCCACGCGCTCTGGGCTCGCCTCTGTGCACACATTCACATTTCCCTTCAAACAACCACTCAAAACGAGCTCAGTAAGCACTAACAGGTTGCTAGCTGGTTATTTTGTAGATAACTTACTGTTGATCCGAACTCCGTGATTTAAAAACGAAACAAACGAGTAAAAAGAAAAAAAAAAATCAAAGCCACATGGGGTGTTTTCCTAACTCCTGAGTGTGGAATGGCGAAGGGAAGTAAAGAGGGGAGACCCAAAAAGCACTTACATTCAGAACTCGTACCACCATGCAAATGGAAGGGAACGCCCTAGAAAAGGGCTGTCCCTCCCGCATAGTGCCTATCTCAACACGGGGTTCCGGGTGAATTTGGGGAACTGAGGGCTCACAGAATTATCTCCATTTACCAGCTCTTCTGACATGTGGATCTAGCTGGTTTGCGAGCAAACGGACCTGTGCTGAGTGTACTATGTGCCTGAGTGGGTGTATGTCTGCGGAGGACTTCTGCATTTCCTTTTAGGAGTTAAACATCTCAGAGACCACCTGCTGGAGAGTGATTCATTCATCCCTCCTATTTGCAGAAGAGCATGCCTCCTCTTCCCCTCCCTTCCCTTTGACCTTCTCCTACAAGGCTATCCTATCCAGGGGCCTCTAACTTTCCCCCACCTTCCTCTGGGCTGTTCAGGTTCTGGGGGTCCTGTAGCCCAGGGGAGGGAGGCTGCCATCTCCCCATGTCTCTTCGCCCACCCCAGATGGCAGGGTCTGGGTGGCTAGCAAGCAGGGTGTAGGTGAGGCTACTCAGGGCCCAGTTAAGGTCTTTATGCCAAGGAGGACGTCTGGAGTCGCTGCCCCCATTCCCCCCCACCGCCCAGTCCTGGGGCCACGCTAAGAGAGAGTCGGAGACCATAGTCTAAAAACATAATTTAATGCATCAAGGTGGGTCTGACTCAGGAATGCAGTGGAGAGGATAATTTTCCATTTGTTGGGATTCTGCTGTGGGTGGTTTCTGGCTGATGGACAGGGAAATTTGCACAGGTATTTTGGGTCACAAAGAAGGATGCCCCAAGGACTCCTGCTCACTTTGGCCTCATGACCAGGGCTGGGAGCCCTCCCTCTCAGGGCACTCTGAGGAGGAGGAGGGGGACTGGAAGGGCAGGCCTCCCGCCAGGCCTGTCCTGTCCAATCAGGTTTGTGAAGTCTGAATTGAGTTGCCTCCACCTTGGGGTCGGGGTCAACTCACCTCACCACTCGGGCATCCCCTTCAACCTCCCCAGGTAGGGGACAGGGACCAGGAGGACAGCCCAGAGTGGAGCCAGGTGAGTCGCAGACACACTAAGGTCAGAGCGGGTCAGGGAGGACAGCAGGGATGCGTCTTTTCCGTTGATGTCAGGAAGTGTCATGAAGCAGAGTGGTCCTCTCCATCCAGGGAGCAGTTCTTGGCCACGGGTGCAGGGCGGCCTGAAGCCACTCTGCCCGTGCTCCCAGCGCGGCTAATCCGGGTACAGAAGAAAGCCCGAGAATGTGCTGTATTTGTTGTTGTTGCCTCCGTGCGCCTTCCCACCGTCCAGCTTCACGTACACCTCGTCCCCTGAATCGAGGTGCAGCACCACGCTGTTACTGGCATAGTCGTAGTTCTGGTCGGCGTCCTGAGCGATGGCACTGGCCCGGACCTGGGGGCGAGTCGCCAGAGCAGGTGGGTCCGGGCACCCCCGCCTGGGCCTTGCCCAACCCCCACATGGTGACCCTCAAACCCCGCAGGCCTTCTGCCCGCGCGCGGCTCCAGGGTCCACACTCCCACCCAGGCTCGCTCGCGCTCTCTCTCTCTCTCTCCTCTCTACTCTCTACTCTCTCTCCAACTTGGCCAGCTCCTTTCCGGTCCCCTCCTCTCCGCAGCCGGCAAGTCAAGTCCCGGAAGGAAGGGGAGGGGGGCTTCATAAGCCCTGACCCAGCGGGGAAGGGAGAGAACTAGGGGGACCAGGGCCGCGAAGAAAGAAGACCGGAGGGCAAAGGGGCGACGGGGGCGCAAAGGGAGAGGTAAAGAAGGATGAGGTTTCCAAGGAGTCCGCGGGGCTGCTGGCGGGTGCGCTAGTAGCTGGAAAGTGCAGGTAGCGGGGTCTCTGGGCGCTTGGGGCACAGCCCGCCGCGCTACACTCGGACAAACGCAACTGGGGCGCACCGGGAAGCTGGATGCTGCGGCGCGCTCCCTCCCGGAGCTCGCCGGGCGCTCGCGAGTGGGGAGAAAGGAGTCTGGTCTCCCAGGCTGTCTGGGGCGCGGGATGGGAAGGAGAGTCTGCGAGGATTTGCGGGGGCCGGCGGCGGTGAAGGGGGACTGACCTGCCCGTTCTTGCAGAGGTCCGCCCACATGCTGGTGCCGTCGCCGCCGCGCATGAGAATGTGGTAGGTGAAGAAGTAGATGCCGCGCACCTGGCAGCTGAACTTGCCGGTAGTGGGGTCGTAGTGATTGCCGAGATTGGTGACCACGTCGTCGAACTTGAGCACCTCGTAGCCTTCGTGGGGGCTCTTAAGACCCACATAGAAGGCGATCTTCGGACCGCTGAATGCGGCGCTCAGCGCGCCGGTCACTTCGCCTTCGGAGTCGCCGCCGCCCCCAGTTCCGCCACCTACCACCCCGACACCGCCAGTCGCGCCCGCCGTCAGCTGCAGGCCGGGCAGCCCGGGTCGCCCCGAATCACCTTTCTCCCCTGGGGGACCCCTGGGTCCAGGCGGGCCCGGCTCTCCAGGGGGCCCCCGCGGCCCCGGCTTGCCGGGTCGCCCCGGGTCGCCCTTGGGTCCCTGGATGAAAGGGGGTGGAGGGTTGGCGCTCAGGTCCTGCATGATTTCCAGCGCGGCAGTGCTGGGTCCGGGCGGCGGCGCCTTGGCGCCGGCGGGCCCCCCGCCGGGTGCGGCGCCGTACGGGTCGCAGATCATGCGGCAGGTGCCCATCATCTCGTAGTGCGCCGCGCCGGGGGGCGCCGCCTGCAGCAGCAACGGCACGGCGATGAGCAGCCCAAGCGCCATGGCCAGGAGCACGCCGACGGCCGCCAGGCAGGCGCGCCGCCGCCGCTGCCACAACCGGGAGGCGACCGCCACCAGCTCCTCCTTGCCGCCCGGGGAGGTAATGGTGGGGCGGCGCGGGCGGCCCCGCTCCCCGCGCTCGGGGGCCGACTCCGCGGATCCCGGCCGCGTCCCCGACGTGGCGACCCCCTGCTCCGGAAGCCCGACCACTTCTAGCGAGAGGCGCCTCGGCCCAGGTGCCGGTGCCCACCACGCCGGGGCTGCTCCGGGAAGCCGCGGAGCCCGGCGCGCATGGCAGGGGGCGCCCAGCCTGAGCCCGGCGCCCCAGGGGTCCGGGCGGCAGCCGCTGGCGAGCGCCGGGTGCTGCTGCTGCGTCCTGCGCGGGCTCAGCGGGGCTCGGCGGGGCTCGGCGGGGCTCGGCTGGGCTCCGCGCGCAATGAGGGCGCCCCGGCTCCGCGGCGCGCTCTGCTCTGCTCTCCCGCTGCTTGCTGGCTCCCGCGCGGAGGGGGGACCCAGCTACCCTGACGTAAGGAGTCCGGGGCTGAGCGGCGGAGGCGGCGAGGCAGAGCGCGCTGCCATCACTCGGGAGACGGCGCCCTCATGTCATCAGCCTTCGGTCCTCCTCCTATCCCGCGGCGTCCTCGGCAGAGGCGGCAAAGGCGCGGTTCCTCCTCGGCTCCCAGGAGCCACAAGTGGGCGCAGCGGGCGCATCCCCGGCCTCCGCGCCACTGGCGGCCACCCTCGCGCGCCTCCCACCCACCACACACACACGCCCACGCGCGCACTCACGCGTGGACTGGCACCGCCGCCAGGTCTCGAAGGTTCCCGGAATCCCAGTGCGGGCCAGGTCCTTGGCGGGGGACCGTGGGGGTGGGGGGAGGACCTAATCCATCCCCCTTGCCTGCAAGCGGGACCAGACTTCAACCCACCAGGTCCAGGAGAAGCTCAGTCCTTTGAGTCCCTGGAACGAAGGACTCTGAAAGCCCTCCTGATTTACTTCCGAATGAAATAAATCTTGCTTCTGGAAGGTGTTTCGCACACCTAGCCCGAGAACGTCAAGCTGTTAAATGAGCTCCAGAAGACCACCCCACCGTTTCTTTCATTCTTTGAAAATCCCAAAGCCATGATAGAAGAGTTTATTAGCCTCGGCCCCTTTCTTCCACCAAATCATTGGCTCTTATCATCTGTATAAAGATCATTTAAATGCAAATCCTTGACACCCAGCACTTGGTGGTAACCTTGGGACCCCCAGCTCCCACTCCCCGCCCACCACTACCAGGCAGATCCAGTTTTCTTTGAACATGCCTGGCTCCCTCCTACTGAGGTGGGTTTAGTTAAGTATTTAAAGAAAAAATAGGGCCTTCTGGGTGGCTCGGTGTGCTAAGCCTTTGCCTTCAGCTCAGGTCATGGTCTCAGGGTCGTGGGATGGAGCCCCTCCAACCCCCCCAACCCCCCCTCTGCTCAGCGGGGAGCCTGCTTCCCCCTCCCTCTCTGCCTGCCTTTCTGCCTACTTGTGATCTCTCTCGCTCTGTCAAATAAATAAATAAATAAAATCTTTTTTAAAAATAAAGAAAAAATAGTCCAAAGCCATTCTGAGCCAAAGTTTTTGAATAAGCGGTGACAGCGGATTTAGAGAAGAATTATCCATCTCCAGTGCAGCATGTGAGGATAAAGGAGGGATGGGGACAGCTCCTGGGTACTGGACTTCTGGCTCTGCTTTCACCCTGAGGAGCTGTGTGACTTTGGGCATTGCCTTCTCTGAGACTATCTTCCTAAAGCTCTAGCGGTCCCCCAGCCTGACATGGGAATGCACCTGGAGAGGCCTGGGAAGAAAGTCCAAGTGTTGATATCGGGACTCAGCAACCATCCGAGTCTCTGGAACCACCGTGTGCCCTCCTGAGGCTGTTGCTTTGAGAAGAACGTACATTTTTCAGGTATGGTGTTCTTGTGGGTTACTTAAAAATCCATTTTCTCTGGTCACCCTGGGTCCTTTCCCCACCCCACCCCACGATGCTCCCGCTTCGTGGGCATATTTCCCAGGGCATAGCATAAGATCTGTCACCTGGTACCTATAGGCCCTCAGTACATATCTGTACTGAGGCTAGCTTGAAGCAAACTGCACCCAGGGGAAAAGGGGGAGAAGGAGCTTATTTATTGGACACCCACTTTGATGCATCAGGCGTTTCACATGTGCTCCTTCACTTTCTCCTCCCAGTATCCCTATGGATTAGCAATTACTCTTCAATTATACAGATGAGAAAACAGGTTTTGAAAGTGCATGGTGCTGCCCAGTGTCCCCCATCCACATGATAGAGCTCAACTCCTCAATCCCTGACCAGGGGCTCTGAAAACCTAAAGTGAACTCTGCTATTAGCTAGCATCCTGGCCTCATTCTCCATTGGTTTGCAGAGTCTTGGGAGCCCTCTGTTCCCTTTCCTAGGGCCACCCCTAAAACTCATGAGCCAAGGTGATTCCAGGAGCCACACCGTCTGGTCCCAGTCCCAGATCTGTAGCTTTGTATCTGTATGACTTTGGGCAATTGCTTCACCTATCTGAGCCTCAGTCTCCACCTGTGAAGAATGGGAATGCCTAAAGTACCTGTCTCAGAGTTGTTAAGAGACTAAAGGAGTAGAACAGTAGCTGGTTCAGTAAAGGTTACCTTTATTATTATTACCTATTGATACCGTAGACCCCCACCACCATGATCAAGACCACTAGGATGAGACAGGTGGGTAGTAAGCAGGGTGGGGGTGGATTGGTGAATTTAAAAAGAGAGAGACCCAAGACCACCCACATGCTCTGTACTTCCCCAAAGGAGAGAAGGGAGACAGGACCACCCCCCCACCCCAGAGGCCACCCTGCTCTAGTTGCCTGCCCTCCACCAAAGCTGTCCAGAGTGTTTCCCATCCCCCCAGGTCCCCCTGGAAAAAACTTTTCCAGGCAGACAGTCACTCAGTTTGAATGCCCCAGCCCTGTAGACCACCATCCCCAAATGTTCCTGTTTTTACCCCTGCAGAATCCTGGCAGGGAAGAAGCAAGGAGAGGCAAATGTTTGAGACCCAGGCTTTCACCCTCGCAGACTCAGGCAAAGCAACCCTTCCTGGGGATCAGTCTTCCCGGGAGCACTGATGGCCTTGCAGGGAGGAGGGCTTCTTCCCAAGGTCAACCCTCTACCACGAGCCAGGACAGCGGCAGCTAGAACAGGTAGAGAGAGGGAAGCCTCCTGCTCCAGACCACATAAAGTCATCAGGTCCTTCCCCTGCCCCCGCCCCTCACCATGGCAGAGCCAGACAGAGTGACCTGTTGGAGCACTTAACATACCTCCCCATCATCCTGGCTTCTGCTCTCCCTGAGTGAGTCTCATTATCGGTGACTGTCTTCTCATTAATATTAATTACGACCTTTCTTACTATATTGCCTCCCATTTAGACCATGGTTTTACATTTTAAGGCCCAGTAGTGATTCAAATCTGTGTTAAATTGCCACTCATAAGCCAGCCTGAATTTCTTGCACCAACACCTCTACCTTCTCACAAAGTCCTTGTGGTCTGTGATATATAGTTTGATAGTTGGTTACATATTGTCTTATCTGACACTCTAATAGCCCCCATCAAGAAAGAGCCCCACTTTTCATCTGTACTCCAGTGTCTTCAACCTGGGATACCAGTCCCTGCTCATCTCTCTGGACTCATCCCTAAGTATCCTTCAAGTTCCAGCTAAGTCTCCCTTCCTTATCTGCAGTCTTCCTGACCTGTCTCTAAGCAAAGCTGACATTTCCTGCCCATGTACCCTTAAAGCACCTTGAATGGGGATGCCTGAGTGTTTCAGTTGGTTAAGTGTCCTCCTGTTGATTTTGGCTCAGGTCACAATCTCAGAGCCATGAGGTCGAACCCCAGATCAGCCCCACGCTGGATGTGGAGCCTGCTTAAGATTCTCTCTCTCTCCCTCTGCCCTCCCCCACACTGCTCATACACACACTCTCTCTCTCTCTCAAAAGAAAAAGAAATACCTTGAATATACATGGCCCCACCATCATATAGCATATGACCAAATATTTGTTTACTTATTAGCCTCCCCCACCAAGCTGTGAGCTCTACTAAGTCAGGAATCATGTCATTCATTTGTTCCACAATTTTTTTTAAAGATTTTATTTATTTATTTGACAGAGAGAGAGATCACAAGTAGGCAGAGAGGCAGGCAGAGAGAGAGGGGGAAGCAGGCTCCCTGCTGAGCAGAGAGCCCGATGCGGGGCTCGATTCCAGAATGCTGAGATCATGACCCGAGCCAAAGGCAGAGGCTTAACCCACTGAGCCACCCAGGCACCCCTGTTCCACAAATATTTATTCATCCCTACTGTATGCCTCTCTCCTGTATCCCAAACGCACTCAGCACAGTGGTGAACAGTACAGGCCCTGACCACTCTAGCTATCCTGCAAGCCTCCCTATACTTCTTTCTACTCACATCACTTGGGTTTATATTTAAATAGTGACTACCTGGCATGGCTGTTTGCTAGCATGCTTTCTTGGAATTGGATTTGTGCCCCCAAGAAGACTGTAAGCTCTTTGGAGACATCATCTTGAATACATTGGCTGATCTTCTACCTCCATCCCCAAGGGGAAGGGCAGCATGAGGTAAAGTCAGGAGTCACCTTACACAAGATCTTGCGGTCCAGGTTAAAAGGTGTGGATTTTATGCTGAGTGTTGTTGAGAGCCTCCGAAGGAGTTTAAGTAGCACAAGGCTGTCTCCATTTTGCAAACAACAGCCTCATTGCTATGTGGTGAATGGTGTGAGGGAGGAAATAGAAATAAGGAATCCAGTTTGGCGGCTGTTGCATAATCCAGGCAAAAGGTAATGGTGTCTTGGAGTGGAATTGTAGAAGAGAAGGAGGTGAATTTTAGATGCATTTTGAACATGGAATTCATGGGTCTTGCTGATGGATTCAAGATGGAAGTTAAGAGAAGAGGAGGAAGAGGATGATAAACCAAGTTCACTTCCTAAGATATAGCTTTAGCAGCTGGGTAAATGGACACGGGAAAAGGGAAATTTGGGGAAGGATAATCTGTTGTGGGAGATGGGAGGTAGGAGGTAGAAGGA